CTGCCCGGGGTGTTTCTGTGTGTGTCGTGAATGGGCTTTGTGTGTTTGCTGGGTGAGATGACCTACTGCCCGGGGTGTTTCTGTGTGTATCGTGAGTGGGCTGCATCACTGCTGGGTGGGCTGACTGCTGCCTGGGGTGTTGTTTTTGTGTACCTTGAGTGATCACTCTCTGTCACCAGACACAGTGTTAAATAAGGCCATAGTTTAAATTAATTTGTGAAGTAGAACCAGAACACACTGTTAGGTTGTCAGAGTGTGTCTGTGCTGACTGTTGTGGTTGTGTGGTTGCAGGTATGTGCGCATCGTTGGGACACACAACACAGTGAACAAGGTGTTCCACCTGGTGGCCTTTGAGTGCATGTTCACCCAGCAGAGCTTCACCCTGGATCAGGGGCTGCTAGGTAAGAGGAGATAGGCATTCAGTTTTTTTCCTGGGGATTACTGCCCTGAGAGAGACTGAGGCGTTTCAGTTTATACAGCGAAGTAGTTAAATATAAAGGTGGTAGGTTAAAATTATACAATGCACAAGCAAGACCTAGGTCTCCTAGATGGTTACAAGATTAAAAAGGTTCAGTTCCTTTTGTCTGTCAGTGGAAGACATTCACTTGAGCCCAGTAATATATCTGGTAGCTCTTTTTTGGACTGCTCCCAGAGCTGCAGTATCTTTTAAGTATTGTGGTTTCTTACATTGAGTGGGCTAAAAAACTGAATTTCTTAAGTCTGTTTTATACTGATAGGCTGTAGGAACTGAGTCTCTTTAGTCTTGAACAGAGAAGACTGTGAGGAGACTGATACAAGTACTAAGAGACTGTCCTACACTGACAGGCATAAGGAACTGAGTTTCTTTAGTCTTGAACAGAGAAGACTGTGAGGAGACTGATACAAGTATTAAGGGACCGTCCTACACTGACATTTGAAGGAGTCTCTTTAGCCTAAACAGCAGACACTAATAAAGTCAGCCCAGCAGATTTCTTCTGACCGAACATTGAAACACCAACCAGAGGACACAAGTGGAAACTGCATAAAAGTGCATTTAAAACTGAGAACAGGTGGTATTTCTTAACACAAAGAGTTGTGAGAGTCTGGATCAAGCTGCATCCTCTAGCGTCCCCTCATTAGTGGTGTGTCTGAGGTTCTTATTCAATTGCTCTGAAGTTTATTAGTCCTCCCAGATGGCAGAATAACTTCAGATATGTGTGTCTGTGTCCCCTACCCCTCTGTCCCACAGTTGATACCCCCCTCAGCTGTGACCTCTCTGTCAGCCCCT